TATGTCCGAATGTAAACAGTGAAAATCGCTGCAGATATCTCCTAGCACCCTGAGAATGAAGCCAACAGTGTTAGGTCTAACAGAGACCAACAGTGTTAGGTCTCTGATGACATTTTTGAGCCACTGAATCAATCAACCCTGAAGCCTGATCTATCTTTGGGCTTCCTATTATGTGAGAAATATTGTTTCATTAAGAATTTCTGTTTCTTGCATTCAAAACATCCTAATACAAATAGATAATTATCGATAACCTTGAAAAGTTCAGAAATCACAGACTATTTTTTATTAGACAGTTTTAAAAACCTTGACAATTCCAAGAGTCAAGTGTTTTCTTCCTAATAACTATGACTTCTGTGTTGTATAATATCAAATGTTAACATTTGTAAGCTAAATGAAACAATATTTTCCAAATAATGAATATATCATGTTACAAAACCACGCACAGGTAAAAGATACATTCAAAATGTAAGGCAGATAAATAAATTTTAATATAACAGACTATGCAATACACTATGAAAAGTTCATTGAAATAATCTCAGAGTTTGCATTGCAACTAACATTTATTGCAACTAACATTTAAGAAACTACTATTTGTTAGCATTAAAGAAAATATCCACAATTAACTGAAAAGGTTATTAAAACACTCTACCATTTTCAATTTGCATTTTCTGTGTGCCAGTTTTTTTGGTTTTTTTTAACATACTTCAGTCAACACAATATATCACAATAGATTGTACGCAGAAGCTGATTTGAGAATCCGGCTATCTTCTCTTAAGCCAGACATTAAAGATTAGCAAAATCACTAATTTTTTGAAATACAGTTATGTTTCATGAATTACGTTACTTATGTTATCATATATATAATGGATTTATTACTACTATTAAATGAAGTAATAAATATGTTTTAAATTTCTAATTTCTAATATAGTAAATATTTATAGACATAAGCTATAACTTAGAAAAACAAAAGCTCTTCAGGGTACTCAACACTTTTTTGTTTGTTTATTTATTAATATTGTTATTATTATTTTTACATTCTATGGTGCTGCAGAGCAGCTGGGGCGAGGGGAAGAGGAGAAAGGGGAAGGAAACAGGGTGGGAGAAGGAGGAAGGAGGATGGGCAGAGTTGAGGCCTGTGACATCCACCTCACTCCTGCATGGGAGACCAGGGGGCTTCCAGTGGTGGCCTGGTCTTTGCTGAGCTTGGCTCAATACTTTTTAAGAATGTAAAAGGGTCCTAAGACTAAAAACTTTGAAAACTGTTCCGCTAGAACACTGAGGCTGGTTCTGGAAATCCAGAAGATATGAAGATAGATGAAGTCTTCAACTGATAAATCAACCTGATGAATCATACAATCTAGCTTACCCTAATGAAACATACAGACTGGAAGGTGGCTGTTCTAGTCTGTTTTGTGTTGCTACAACATAAATACCTGAGACTGGGTAATTTACAAAGGAAAGAGGTTTATTTGGCTTACGGTTCTGAGACAGCTGCATCTGGCAAGGGCCTCAGGCAGCTTCTACTCATGGTGGAAAGTGGCAGGGAGCCAGCGAATACAAGCAGATCACATGGCAAGAGGAAGCAAGAGAGAGAGAGAAGGTGCCAGGGTCTTTTTAAGCAACAAGCTCTCGCGGGAACTAATAGATCGAGAACTCACTCATTAATCCCCCCTCCCCCAGAGAGAGCATTAATCCATTCATAAGGTGTCCGCCCCCATGACTCAGTCAATTTCCAACACTGCCACATTGGGGATCAAAATTCCCATGAGTTTTGGAGGGGACAACACATCCAAACTCCATCAGTGGCCATAATAATTAAAAGGAAAAAGTGGAAATTGGTACACTGGAAGGCTTGATCAAGAATTAGAGATTTTAGGGGCTGGCCCGTGGCTCACTTGGGAGAGTGTGGTGCTGATAACACCAAGGCCATGGGTTCGGATCCCATATAGGGATGGCTGGTTAGCTCACTGGGTGAGCGTGGTGCTGACAACACCAAGTCAAGGGTTAAGATCCCCTTACCGGTCACCTTTAAAAAAGAAAAAAAGAATTAAGAGATTTTTCCTAGAGAAGAATATTAATCAAATATTTTAAAGATTATAATGCAGATGCAGGCACAGACTTACTCTATATATTTCAGATGGTAAATCTAAGACTAATAGGTAATCGTTACAAAAATCCAATTTCAGTGAAACATACAAAATACATTTCCTAACCAGTAGAGCTGTGTAACAACAGGACTCTTTCTGACAGTCCCTTCAGTCAACAAACATTGTCTATTATGTGCCAACACTTGCTAGATTTGGGGATTCCAGCAAGAAATTAGTTCCTGCCTTTATGCTGCTTACACTCCAATGGAAGAGAGAAGCAAATAAACTACACTAATTCAAGGGTCTGATAAGTATTCTGATGGAAGGAAACAGGCTTTTGTGACAGAGAGGCAGGTGTGGGAACTATAAAACTACCACAGATAGAATGTTCAGAAAAAGTCTAAGGAGGTGATATACAAGCTGAGAGAAATAGGGAGAAGTGGCTTGTGCAAAGAAATAAACCAAGAGCAAATGCCCCATAAATGCAAAAGAACTTAGAGTATTCCGAACAGTACGGAAGAAGTGTGACTGGAGTATGGTAATAACATAAAATTGGAGAGATAGGCAATATCCATATTATGTAGAGCACTGGTTCTCGTTGACCTTAATAGCATATTAGAGCAAGTGCATCAGAATCCCTGTGGGCTGGGCCTAGGCATCAGTATTTGTTTTAAAGTGCTCTAGATGATGTTAATGTACTGCCTTGGATGAGAATCACTAATATAGAGTCTGTTAGGCTATAAGAAATTCAAATCTTATTTTTAATGTAAGAGTAAGCCACTGAAGAATTAAGAAGGAAACTACTCGGATTGATTTACCTTTTTCTTAAGTTTATTTTTTAAAAGATCACTCTGGATGTTATAAGAAGTAGAGAGCAAGAATAGAAAACTCCTCAATCCTGAAAGTCAGAGATTAAATGAGCATTTATCAGGAAAGATAAGTTATACTGGGTGGAGGCTCAGCAACTAGATAGTGATGGCTAATACCAAGAGTCTAATTTTCCAGAGACACTAAATAATCAACAGGTACAACCAGGGCAAAGGGAAAATAAAACAAGTACCTAATACACTTTATCAATTTGACCATGTGTGACATTTGACTATTAAATAAGGTATTTATGTCCTCACATTGCCACCATATGTAAATTATGTAGCTAAGGACTTATTCTTTAACACTTCAAACAGATGAAAACAAACAATCCTATTTACAACTTAAAAATTTTATCCTCAACGGACCTAAAACCTATCCTGCAAAGCCCAATATTTTCAGTTATATTAAATAGCCCAAAGATAAAGTTTGAAGCTGCCAGAATCTTCTAGTCCTTTCAAACTAAATATGGATAATAACTGATAAAGAAATACAGCAATAAAGATTATAAAGCAACCGAAACTTGAATTATGCTATTTCATCAATTTGGTAATTATTTTTAAATACTACTTTAACTTAAAATCTGAATAGTTCCCCCCTATAGTTTACTCGAGTTCTTTCATTTGCCAGCATTCTTGCCACTTTCCCTGATATGAAGACAACAGGTCAGGTTATTTCTTTTTTTTTTTTCCTTTTTGTCTTTTTTCGTGACCGGCAACGGATCGCAACCCT